AATTTAGTGAGAAAACCTCATTGAGTTAAGAGGTCCAGCTGATGTTCAGGCTTGTTTCAAAGTCTTGAAATAACCTGAAATGGAGCGATGAAGCATCTGGTTGAAGCAGAGCCCCTGAGATTCAGTGAGGATCAGCGATGAGACAGCTTCTGAGAGTGCACTGATGCCCACACGTGACTCGTCCACTGACGAAGCTACCTAAATGTTTAGCCCTATATTTTTTCCACACATTTCATGCTGAAGCAAACAAAACGCCTACTTTGACGAAATGCCCGCAAACAATGGGCCAAATCAGCATCTGGTGTACTAACGAGCGGTTCCCAAGAGGCGACAGGATCTCAGAAATCTAAACGAGTAGGCATTCATGGACCAGCCAGATGAAAGGGCTAAAAAACAAACCCTTGAAAGGAGATTTGTGGCGGGTGTCAGAGAAGGTGCCTTCTTTTCCGAGTAGAAGATGCGATTCTCGCTGGCATTCGTCACAGCTACACATAGTTCACAGAGTGAACGAAGGTTCAGCTCATGACCCAACTTTGGAGTAGAACCTTAAAAAGTGCTCTTTAAGGCAGTGATAGTAGCCTTCCTTACCTATAAAGGGGGGGGGCAGTCTAACCTGTCTACTTTAGCGATGAGGATACAAAGTGCTCTATTCATGCTGTCCTTGTCAAGTTCACCGTTGCCAATGGCACTTTCAACAGAGCGATCAGCTGCACCGATTCCCTGCAACACTTCAATTAGATAAGGGCCATAAAAAGGACCTATCGCGAGGAAACACACCTCTTCTTCTGTTCGCTGTGGCTGATTGGTAGCTTTTTTCTTGCCGAAGGTGAATCGTGACGGTTTCTCATAGCATAGGGCGCCATAGATGAACTTTTCCAGCTCCCACACATATTCACTGCATCTGAAGCAGGGCGAATTCGTTTGATTAAGGCTTAAGGTTCAGGTGAGGATGGGCGAGACTGACCGTATCATTAAGGCAGCGATTACGATAAGAGCTAGTGGGGTCTACTGGGGACGTGGATGTGCTCAATGGTGCTTATGACGAAAAAACCAGAGGAATTCGTCGAAAAGGGGCTTTCTTGTTTGACCGTTGATTTTCGCTCAAGGACGGAGAGCGGCTTGACGGCGGACTTATGGACGAGTTACTGTAACGCGTTTGGTGGCACCATGCCAATCCATGTTCTAGTCGAGTTGCTCCGTTGTGCCGCTGCTGACAACACAGCTCGTCCAAATACGGAGGGGCAACTAAAACCCTAGTGGGAAAACTCCGAGGCCGAGTACCTTTCCGAGGTCGCCTGCCTCAGCGAACCACGCACCTTTCGTCATCAAAGGCCGCTACACCTTGCTTCACTAGCAGCCAAGGAACTACTTCGTTTGGAGCATATACTTCGCCAATGTGCTCCTCGTAACTCGTGTGTTTTGAGGTATAGGAAGGTGTTGAGAACTAGACCGTATCACGTGTTTCACATTCCTGAGCATGGATCGAGACGCATGTTGATCCCGTACCACTGCATGCTGTAGAAGTCGTCAGGTGCGGAAGTCAAACTCGAACCTTTTCTGAAGAGATTAATCCAAATATATGGCATTAATGTCAGATACCCCCATTAATTAGAAGGGATATGCGATCATACGATGCCAGAAATGGGTCAATAGGTTCAGCGTGCCCATGGAGGGTTTACCTGTTCTTCGAAGCCGGCCAGTGTACGAAGCTCGTCGACGTCACAAGACGATTCCACCAGATTTTCAAAGATCCAGCCGCAGCGCTCAGCCAGTTCTAAAAGAAGTTTATCGGCAGGTAGGAATCTCGGTCTTCGCTAGGGAGGGGCAGTCGAGTGGTTAAGAGTGTAAGCTCATGTCTGCACCTCTGAAACGTCGTAAGTTCGGTCTTGCCGATATTAGCCATGCCCTGCAGACATTGTAAAAATGATTCTAGCTACCGCGTCAGACCAAGGTTGACAGGCTGGCTGATGAACCCCCGCACAACAAAAATATTCATCGAGACACCCTATAGAACTTCCAGTTCTTGCAGGTGGAGCGAGTCCTCGTGGGTCAAGAACCGTTTCGTTTCTGCCTTGGTACTCACCCCGACCTTACCGTCGCCCTCATCCCCATAGTGTACCAGACCCGTAAACTTTTCTATAAGTTCTGAGCAATGTGTTTGGTAAGCGATAATCGGCTCCCTGCACAGGGTCAACCCTGCGTTGCGCAAATTCCAAATTTTTTGCGACCCCCTCCATTTCAAGGGGTGTCAGTGCGACCCCCCCCTATTGGACATGTGTTTTTTTCTTAGTGTTACGGTGTAGTTGTAAACTTGTGTATAGGGGTTATTTGGAGCCCTGATTACGAATATGACATTCTTTTTTGTCGTTGGCACTATTTGGTGCCTATTTCCTGCTCGTCTGCGCCCTCTCACTAATTGGATCGCAATCAGGACTAAGCCTTTGAATAGTGGAGGGCTCCAAACTGAGTATGACACTTACTCTTCAATCTCACACACTTCAACTTTTGCCACACGTTGCTTTTACCCGCTACACCGCGATCACTCCCTTTCCTTGAGCTTAGGGGTTATGGAGCCCTAGGAACTAAGTGAGAGAGCCCAGAAAAGCAGAAAATCAGCGTGAAAACAGCGAGAGCGACGAAAAGAAATGTGATATTCGTAGTCAGGGCCCCAAATAACCTCTACAAACAACAAAACCCCTACAAAACTACAAAACCCCTACAAAACCATTGCATACAAATTTACAGCGAATTTCGTGAGATTCAGTACCGGCGCAACTGTCGCCGTTCTGACGCCAATTTGACGCCAGCGTCAAAAATGGATCTAATATTCGTGATCAGGACCTCCGATAACCCCAATAGACGAAGTTTCAGCGAAAAAAATTTTTGACACCCCCTACTGGGGTTGTAATAATGCAATAGCGCCGGGAACCCTTCCGTACTGCTTTAGAGGCCTTTAGCACGGCCTCTAAAGCAGTACGGAAGGGTTCCCTAACAAAAAGAGAACAGAAACATTCCTTAACAGAAATAAATAAGGCAGGAAACCGAATAGTAAAGTTTGAATGTAGGAATTCGCGCCCTTACCGCGGCGCGAGGTAGCGTGGAGCGCGTTTTCCACTCGCTTGGGACGCGGATTTGAGGCAAAATGAAATATCAAAAGTTTTATTAGAGGAATTGAGAGGATTTTTTGTAAACCTAGGTACCGTTATGTTCCTAGTGGTCTCTAATTTCAGGTATGTGCCAAGATTTCCGTCAACGTCCAACCGTCTTTCTTGTAGAAGCTGGAAAATCTAAATCTCCAATAGTTACGGGCGCCTTCTTTGAAAGCTTATATCTTCGTCCACAGGCGTTTTCATGGAACCGGACACCAAAATTTTAAAAATACAAATAGTTTTCTTTCAAAAAAGCATTTGAAATGTTGCGGATGTTCAATATTTAAAAAATCGTCCCGTTGTTCCGTTTTCTGTGCACACGCGAGTTTTCGACATTCAAACATTCATAACTTTCTTCATAATCAACTTTTTGCAAATGTCTAAGGCTAATTAGAAACTAGAAGATTAGCGCTTTCAAACAAGCACCTGAAAATTTTCTAGCGATCATTCTTTCAAAAAATAGTCCCGTCGTTCCGTTCGATAAGGGTTTGGGGTCCGATTTTTGAGAAAGCGCGAGTTTCCGACATTAAAGCATTTATAACTTCCTTCGTATTCAACTTTTTGCGAATGTCTAAGGCTAATTAGAAACTAGAAGATTAGAGCTTCCGAATAAGGGCTAAAACTTTTTTGAAAAATCACTCGTTCAAAAATAGTGCCGTCGTTCCGTTGAATTTCATAGACTTTTTTTCAAGCCTTTCGTCTGAACCGCGACATTGCAATATTCAAGAACCCATAACTTCCTTCAAACTTCATAAAATGAGAAGCGGTAAAGACCGTTAGAATCTACGCGAAGAGTACTTTATTACTAGCGTTAACTTTTCATGGAATTCTTTCTTCTGCTTCAATTTCATAAGGGGTCTTTGAAATTCAATTCAGCAAGTTCGCTACATTTTGTTCCGCTTAGATTTGATTTAAAAGCATCAAAATTTTCTTGAGGAAGTTTGTCTGCTTACGGCCGCTGACAGAGAAGGCGTTTTGTGGGAAAACGCCTGCTCGGGTATACGCCGTGCACCTGTCTGTGGACAGAAGTCGCACTCGCATTTGAAAGTCCTCCATTTTCCTGAAGAAGGTGTTAGTATCGTGATTGAGTTGCATTGTACTGTTATATGGTACTCTTGTTTCACTTCCCCATGAACTGCTCTACACTTTGTTCTCCTTGGGATTTCAGGAATGTTCGATCATCGAAGACAGACCATGTTTTTGCACTACGCTGTAACAAAGTTTTTGGCTATTGTATCTTGATCTATGCTGTCGAGCAAAACGTCGTCCGTGTATCAATGATACATGGTGTCCCCCAACAGGCCCACCGCGCGGCGAAGCAAGAGACGCAGATGCGGCAAAGAGACGAGTTGCAGCGCGTGCTGTGCGATATGAGACGTAGTATGGTACACTCTCTTTAACCTGACGCCTAACCGCTACAGTATGCGCTGCGACTCGTCCCTTTGCCGCGTCTGCGTCTCTTCCTTCGCCGCGCGCGCTGGGCCTGTTGGGGGACACCCCAAAGATAATAATGGATGAAGTGAGACTTATAATACCCTGCATGCTCTAATGCTCCCATGGAGCTCTTGTCTGTGCGACTTTCCGACAGCTGCACGGTGCAGAGCTTTTGGAGAACATTAGGGCGTGAAAGTGCACTGCCGCACACTGCCTTGTCGCCCTCTTGCAGCCCCGTCCCTCTGTATGCGACCCCCCCCCCTTTCGTTCGGCAAAATGCGACCCCCTCGTTGTTCTTTGCGCAACGTAGGGTTGACCCTGCCTTGGAAATATCCGAGCGGGATTTTTTACCCTTACCGAGTTCGAGAGCAACAGCTGCCAACAGCTGCATGCCTTTGATAGAATGCTCGATGCCTTCCTGAATTTTCTGGCGAGCTTTTCGCCTATCTGAAACAAAAAACGGGCAACGTTATCGTTCATTTTGTAAGAATAGGTTACAGAAAAATTTTATAGGCTCACCTTTAATGCCAAGGAATGTCGACAGAATTTGAACACAGGAACCCCATGCCGATGCGATCAACCAACGGGCAGCAATACGCTCTGAAACGATGGCAAATCTACTAGAAATGCCCAAAAAAGGAAAGAACTAAGGACTTTTCGAAATCCAGAACTCCAGCAGAAGCAACATTCCGATTTCTTCCAAAGATTCGAAGTGACGTGCTGAAGTTGCCCTGCTATACTGGCAGTGTATTCAAAACCTTTGCCAAGGAAAGATGCACTCCGGAGACACCATTGAGGTCTTCATTAACCTAATAAACTTCACGCCTCAAGTGGTTTTCGTTGGCGCCTCCCCAAGAGATCTTCTGAAACGTCCAATCAGTCAGGCACTTGACGATCACACTGCCATCAAAGTCTGGAAAAGCTTTCGATTTCGAAAATCAGAAAACACTCAACACCTTTATGAAGAAACCCAGCCATGGTTAACTCGAACTTCTCATCAATTTTTTCAAAACGTGTTTAAGTTCTTACAAACGAATCTTTCATTATGCAGCCCGACATTGCTAGCATTGTATCAGAAAGGGCACACAAGGCGGGGGGGCGTATCGTTCCATGGTTTCAATTTTCGGTAGATTGATTTAAATTAATGCCTCCTTTGAAGTCCACTAATGAAATCTTCCTCGGCCCTGTCTACCTGAGCCGATCTCATCACTCTGTGACCCTATCCTTCCCCACTAACCCTAGCCTTCCCCGTAAGCTCTGCAGGAGGAGACAACCCTTCACTGCTTGACCTCCATCTTATAATAGCTTTCCGAACTGATGAGCCTTCATATAATAGTTCCAACTGTTAAGAAACCAAACGTGCTGACGAATGGCTAGCGACAAACCCTCCGTATGAAAGCGAAGCTGCTTTTAAAGGCAAAAGTCGGGCTCAATAAGGGGGTATTATGGCGATTGAAACTGAGTATAGAGATGCGAAGTGGAACGACAGTGGAGAAAAAACTGAGAAAAACCGTCGACAAGGCCGTTTAACAAAACCCTCTTTCCCACTAGCAGTGAAGGAGGCTGGCTTGGGAAGAGGCACGTACAAACAAGTTTTCTGGAGATGTCAGTCGTTCTATCGGTTGATACGGCAATCAACCTAGCTGATTTCACACGTTATGCCAGCCACGCACCACTTCCGGAGGTGGGCGGTCCCGGATTGACGAGGCGGTCCCGGATTGAAACCGACGGCCCCGGGGCCTAACGACGTTTTTCAAGGTGGGACGTTGCTGCAATGTGTGCAGCTACTCACGTACAACCTCCGGGCACGGGAATTACTCCTCTAGCGCGGCTGAGCCCGACCTTTGCCTTTAACTAACTAATACCTTGAATGACGTCCAGGAGGGCTCCAGTGATTTCGCCAAAAGGAGCACTGATGGCGTGATCGTAGACTTTCCTCAGCCAGCTCGCTACAACACTATACAGCCGCGACCCTTCACAGCAACAATCACGGAAGCTTTCGTATAGCATACATTATACGAAGTTATGCGAATTTCCGGGACCAGCCATGGTGATCTTTACCCAGGGTAAGGTGTCCTCGCCACGATAGGCGAGACATAGCGTTGAATAGGCTGCGATGTAGATGGCATCAGTGTTGAGGAACTCCTGCTGGATTTTTGATTTGGACTTGAATGCTTCGTTGGACTGTCAGAAAAGTCTGAAAAGAGATTTTATACATCCTTTTTCGCGGCTGTGCTTTAAAAATAGGTGCTGACCGTTATAGAACCCCGATGAGAACTCCAGAATGGCCTCGTCCAGTTCCAGTGTCGATTTGAATTTGCTCCAACCGACAACATTATCCACTAGAGAGTCCACGAATTTTTGTGCGGTGATTTTTTCTGTCTGGAGATAAAAAGAATTGCACAGTATGCAGCTGCAATCGAGCCATCTACAGGTGCAACAAGGAAAGTAATCGAAATAATTAATTATATTTTGAAGTTGGAGCAAAATAATTATTCTATTGATGCCTAACTGCTCCGATTGCCTGACAAAGAACCGGGTACCCGACAAGAGGCTCGTCGCGCGCGAGAAGGCGGAGACGCTGACGGTCAGCCGCCCGAGTCGAAGCGCGTGCTATTTGATTGTACATTTATTGCAGCACCCACTGCGACTCGTCCGCTGACCGTCTGCGTTTCTGAGGCCTTCTCGTCGCGCGAATGGGCCTCCTGTCGTGGAACTCTCAAAAAATTTATTCAACCACTAGAACGGCCACACTCAAATCCATGGCGGCCGACCCTCGTCGCCCAAACCCGCTTCGGCATAACAGGTACGGATCAAGGATTGCTCCCCGTTGGGTCACAATACCCACGAAAAACCAAGCAATGGAACACTCTCAGGAAAATATGGAAAAGTCGTCATTCGTAACCTGCAAAACTGCAGGTAACTTTATCCATCAAACCTTTTTTTTTCAATTTTCTCTCCTTTATCACTAGGGCTGCAAAAATCAGTTAGAAGTTCGTATTGGAATGAATGTTCATTTTTTCGTCGTTCTACTCAAAGCAACACCCCCAGCAGAAGTCGTGTCGAAGAATCTATTCAGTGGGTGGGATAGAGTAGCCCACGAGTATCACAGATGTGCCGTTGTCGCGGCTCGAAAGTGCGCGACAATGGCGCTAGGGTCTTACAAAGTCAGCATTTGGCGACTAATCTTAGCATTTGGACGAGTTACGTCGCGCACACCCCATGACACGCAACGTGGATTACGGCGTAGCGGCTAATTCAAATACGCGCGGGTTAGTTGAGCCGTGGAGCAGGCAGGTTCGTACAACTCGTCCGACCCCGCCCCTTCCTTTTCGGGAGAATTTTGGCTATGGATTTTCATGGACGTTCTTTGCATTTTTCATTGTGATCAGTTCGGCATCCACAACTTCATTATCAACCGCTGCAACCTCACAAATTCGATTTGGGAGTGTTGCGGTAATTTTCACCCTACTGAGCCACTACTTTCCATTTTCCAAGGGTTGAAACCTCCACTCAAGATGTTCTATTCAGCAGAACATTCAACACCAGACTCTTATCGTTAAAAGTGCGCTTACACCAAAGGAGGTTACCGTAACAACTTACCGTCTCGTCATACTCAGTCGTTCGCCGTCGAACGATTGGCATCGGTGTCACTTCGTCGTCGAGCGATCGCTGTAGACCAAACTTTTTCGACAGCTTCTTCAGTGTCTCTTTTATTTCCTGTAACGAAATAAGAGCTTCAACGATTATCAGAAAGAAAGCTCCAGTGAAACAATAACTGACGTCTTCTGTCTCATCGTCAGTCGCTGCAGCATCATTCTGCTTTTGTGAAGTGTTCACAGGTGGAAGTGGACTGCACTGCCCGACATCAGATCGAGACGTGAAACCTGTGAGCAGCAAATTGGAGATCCACCTCGCGAGCTCTCGAAAGATAGAACCGACTCACTCGGTGGATTGACATCGGCCAGCGAAGGGAACATCTCTCTGAGCTTTGATCTCGTTTCCTCATCAAGGAGATCAGGCGATTCACAGTAGTTGAGAATTCCTTGCAACTAAAAAAAGCAACACTGTTCGAACCAATGAAAGTAAATTC